TCTGTCAGGTGTTGGTCCAGTCCATCACTAAGATTCTGTCATATGTTGGTCCAGTTCATCACTACCGTTTTGTCAGATGTTGGTCCAGTCCATCCCTAATGTTCTGCCAGATGTTGGTCCAGTCCATCCCTAATGTTCTGCCAAATGTTGGTCCAGTCCATCCCTAATGTTCTGTCAGGTGTTGGTCCAGTTCATCCCTTACATTCTGACAGATTTTAGTCCAGTCAGTCCCAAACGTTATGCCAGATATTGGTCAAGTCAGTCCAAAAAAGGTCACACACTAATATTTTGTTGGACCGCCTTTATCTTTGATTACAGCAGCATTCACTGTGACATTGTTTTGATAAGCTTTTGCAATGTGACAAGATCTATTTCCATCCATTGTTGCATTAATTTTTCACCAAGATCTTGCATTGAAGACTAGGCACTTGGCATGATGGGTGCATCACTTCACCTGCGTCTCTTCTTACCCTGATGCACCTATCACTCTGGAACAGGGTAAATCTGGACTCATCAGACCACATGACCTTCTTCCATTGCTCCAGAGTCCAATCTTTATGCTCCCTAGCAAATTGAAGCCTTTTGTTCCAGTTAGCCTCACTGATTAGTGGATTTCTTAAGGCTACACAGTTGTTCAGTCCAATCCCTTGAGTTCCCTTCACATTGTGTGTGTGGAAATGCTCTTACTTTCACTATTAAACATAGTCCTGAGAGCTACTGTTGTTTTTCTTCTATTTGATTTCACCAAATGTTTAAGTGATTGCCAATCACGATCATTCAGGATTTTTTTCTGGCCACATTTCTTCCGCGAAGACGATGGGTCCCCACTATCCTTCCAGTTTTTTTTAATAATGCGTTGGACAGTTCTTAACCCAATTTTAGTAGTTTAGTTTCTGCAATCTCCTTAGATGTTTTCTCTGCTTGATGCATGCCAATGGTTTGACCCTTCTCAAACAGACTGACATCTTTTCCACGATGTGTCTTTCGACTTGGATAATTAAGAAATAAGAAGCAACTCATTGCACCAGTTGGGGTTAAATAACTTGTTGCAGCTGAAAGATAATCACCCATGCAGTAATTATCCAAGAGGAGGCTCGTACCTATTTGCTTAGTTAAATCCAGGTGGTGACTTT